CTAATTGACCCGGTTATAAGCAACAGTACTAATCTAATATTAATCAGCATCGTTAATGGATTTTAGGGTTACTGAAATATGCGATAATTCATAAAGCTCAACAAAATTTTGTATGCTTGGTTATTGTGTTAGATATAAGTAATGCGGCAAAATATTACACTTACCGCATCGATCAAATTTTACCGAAATATCGTATATCGCTTGTAGATTGAAAGAGACGAGTTCCGATAAAAAGAAGCTAGAAATTATGTGAAATAAGTAATGTAGCTCAAATATTAAATATTCGAATCGTAAATGTTTACATTCTCTAAGATTTATTAGTCTTTGAAAAATGTAACAGTTCTAGTTAATACTCTCAAAAGGTTACCAAGGAGTGCAGAAAATCGGGGAATTGTGATACTATACCCTGTGAAGCCCAGGCGAGAAGTTAATGTTAACATGGTACCATCGCTGCCCGCTGTTGCCAGAAAGTGTATAAACTCTATTTGAATAGCCAAATAGGGATAGATCGCCAATTCCCTCCCCATATCTGTTGTAACAAAATGTAAGGCAGAATATGTTAAATGCATAGATAGAAGGACTTGCGATAATAAATTGATATCCGGTCGGTTTTCTCGATGCTTCGGTGTATAGATAATAACCTGTGCGCATCAAATACGATATGCTGTTAGCTGACGTACTAAATATTTCGTGTATATATATTAATATTGAAGTCACTAATTTATTTCTAACTAAGAAAAAGTATTCAACTTGGACACTTAAAATTTATTTTATAGTAGCAACGAGAAAACTGAAGTAATCTTCTAGCTAAAAATGCAAATTAAATGAAGACCCGATGGCATCGTCAATTTTATTTGTAGCATTTATGTAATTTTGTCAGCAAGCTCACAAATTTACTGTGTGGTATAGTAATAGTTACGCTATAGATATTTCAGTCACGGTGACGTTTAATCATATATACTGCAGTAAAGCATTCGACGAAATTTTCAAAACAATTATATACGTTTTACTTTATGCTGTTTAGATTTGATGATAAAGTAGTACAAACCTGCTGGAGTGCCTAAAGTATGATCATTATTTGGACCAGTATTGGAAGTTGGTGTTTTTCCTTTATTTCTAGTCCAACGGACCGTGTTGCTAGTGCCATTTGCTGGATTTTGCCACTTGCAATTGCTCATTTCGAAATTACAACTTAAAGCAGTTGTATTCACTACGGTACAAAAGGTGTAATTAGCGTAAAGTATTCTTCACATTGATTATGAGCAATAACTCTAAAAACATTTGTCGTATTCTGACATGTGTTACTTAAGAATAACCTATATTACATAAACAACTATATGATCCATTGTTGTTATTGCAGTAAGCATCGACGGGACAATTGTGACCATTTGAAGAGCATTCTTTGATATCAGTACAGGT